CAAACACACCCTAACTTACACGCGTAAATTTCTTATTTTACATGGTTAGTACGCACTGATTTGTACTCCAATATGCCCCACCCATTCTACCCCCTTATACCAGGTGCCCGTATTGGAGTGGGGCGCGCTTCTCCGCACTGTGGGGATCCCACGATAGTTCCTTGCCCTTAAGGTTAAGGCTATGGTTAGAATGGTTTTTGGACTAGACTTTAGGCTTAGCGTAAGAGTTTAAGGAGAGTTTTACCAAATGGGTTATGTAACCTTCCTGGAATTTTGCGAAAGGTCACCTTGATCCTGGGGGGGGGTTCCTTTTCCCATATACACATTTAAAATCGCGGTCATTTTGCTACACATTTGACAATGGGCTGTAGGATAAGCGTCCAGTACTTATGAAATAAACTGTGTATTCTTTACCAAAATGTTGATTTATTTCAGAGTATGCTTCTTGGGATGTCAATTTTTTCAATTCATTTATCTATTTATTCCACAGGAGGATTGTGGTGACTCACTCAGCGCAGAAGATCATCGCGCGAAGGCTCATCGCTGCCTACGAGTGCACATATACTGGCCGCTTATTCCCGTCTGTCTAGCCGATCACTTGTCAAGGCCAACTAAAAAAAGGCCGTTCCAGACGCTGTTCCGATTCCCATAGTCACCTCACTTCAGACGCGTCCCTGTGGTGTGCGTCTGCTCGCTTGTCTGACAATCGATTTCCTACTATCTATTCTCCATTCCTTCTGTACAGAACAAACTGTCCCTTCCACTCTGGCCTCCCATGACTTCTTTTCTCCTAGGGAACCGGGCCTGAAGGTCGCAGTTGCTAGAATTTAACTTGCTTAACCTCCTGCGATATTGGTGACTTCCCGACGTTAGCTGAACTCCCGTCTTCTGGGGTGGCCTGCTCTCCCTGCGATAATAGTGACGTTCCGACGTTTCCCTGCTACAAGGACCATTGACCATAGAATAAAGACTGGACTACCTAGATTCGGTTTATTTCCCAGCTAGACCAGCTCTGGGTCTTAGGACATTTTATCTGAGCCAAATAGTCTGTCAACCGAGGTAAGCTTCCTCTATGTGCAGGATATGAACGGAAGACCTGCGTTGCCCTATTTGGTCGCAGGATGGAATCTATTTCATTTAAAATAGATAGAGTTTGCTGCCTACTTCACTCAACTCAGTTTCAAATACCTCGAGGC